TATTTAATCAGTAATTATTTTAATTAATTTAATAGCATAAACATAGAATCAAAATACTCTTTGAGTATTATTTAATTAATTGATATTCTAAAACAGTTTGATTAAAGATATCAATTAGATTTAACTCTAACGTAAATAATTTTTTGCAAATCAATGATATTTATTTTATAATTTTAAAGATTTTAAAAAGTAAAAGAAAGAATTTTAGATTACCTTACAATAAACCTGGTCAAAAGCTTGTTAAATTTCAGTTAATTTAACTTAACTTGGTATTCGTAAGATTTAATTAATTTTTGCTAAATTAATTTTTTTTTTTAATTTTTTAGGAATTTTCTCAATAAAGAAATAATGAAAAACATTAAAGACAACTAATTAAAAAATTAAATTTTTCATTCAATATTAGCTTTGTAAAAGCTGGATATAAAAACTGAATATAGCTTTAAAAGACATAATCTTTTTTATTTATATGATGATTGATTTTTAAATATTTTTTTATAATTATTTTAAGTAATTTTCCACATTTTTCCACTTGAAGTAATTATAAAAATAATATTTATTAATCTTAGGCAAATAAAAAAATTATAGTTGAATGTAGAAACCACACTTTATTTATTCTTATTTTTAATTTACTGCATCTACTCTTAATTTTTATATTTGTTTTAATCAATAAATTTATATTAATACAAAAATTATTATAAAAAATTAAAATTATATTATTAACTTTTTATAACAATTAAACTAAAAGTAAAGGTATATATGTTGATATAAATATTTGGATTACATCAAAATTATATCTGATTTTTAATAAAAACAATTTTATTAATTAAATTTCAAAATTATTAAAATTAGTCACAAATATTATCAATACAAGTAGACTAATATCTGTTTTTAAACATTATAAGGTCAAATTATCCATTACTTTTTTCACTTTTTAATATGGTATTATTTAAAGGAATTGATGACCTATAAAAAGGATTCCCATTGTTATATACGATTCCCTTTTTTAGTTCTTAGAAAATACCTTTTTTATCAATACTGTTAACTCTATTTTATAATACTAAATCTTATAACTTTTATTAAATTATTTCAGCTTCTTGTTTAGCAACAGCGACTTAGTTATTTCTATTTTCTGTTATTTTTTCATTATTAATTTCTTCAAGCGTTTTATTGAAATAATAAATGCTTTTTAGAATTTCTTATTTGCTCAACTCTAAGTTTTATTTAAAAATGTTTAATATCAAATAAAAATGCTTTTTAAAAATAAAAATTACAAAAATAAATAAATAAAATGTAAACAAATTTACCATTTTTTTTTTTAATTTTTCCTAAACTAGCAACTTAATGAACTTAGAGAGATTCTGATTACTTTTTGATTTATGGTTCTTATATATTAAGCATTTATTTTATAGACGAATGAATGATTGCAGGGTTAAATTCACTCCTTAATTCTCCTGATAGATCATCAAATGTAATGTTCTTTATAATTTAGTTAAATCCATATAATTTTTATATTTTTTTAGTACTGATAGCTTTGTTTCTGTTTAATTAAATAAACTATTATAGATTATAGCAAAAGTTTTATATTATTGAGTCAAAATTAAAAAAATCGGTGTTTATGTTTTTGGCATCTTCTAAAAGTTTTTTCTTTTTGATTTGTAATTCTTTTTCTTTTTAATATTTTTTATCCATAAAATTCATAATTGAGTTCAAGTTTTAAACCTTCTTAGCAAATTTTTAAAGCTTAGGAACTATTACTTTTTTTTGTTTGCTCTCAGATAATTCATTTTGTAAATCGCTATAGAAAGTTTTAAGAGTTTGCTCTTTGTATTATTTGTGATGGTTTTTAAATACTCTTTTTGATGAGCTTTCATTTTTAAAGTTTTAACCTAAATAAGATAGGTAAGAATGTAATTTTTCTTCAATTTATTGAGTATCATTTTAGGTTACTTTATTCAGTTTTTGTGAAGTATCTTAAAGTCTTTGAGATTTTTCAAACATATTCTTTTCTTTATCAGTCAATCTCTCTGTAAGATTTTTTTAAAAATCAGGCTAAAATTCTTCTGTATTTAGTAAATAAGGATTTTTGAAATTATTTTCTGAATTGATTCTGCTATTTTAAGAATGAAAATCTTATATTATTTATATAGCTCCATTATTATTGTTATAAGAAGTATTGCTTGGAGAGGCATTTATAGTAAAATGATTAGAAGTTTAAGTTTTATTTAGTTATTATAGAGAATGTTTTTGAGAATCATTATTTTTTTTATTTTGTCTTTCTTCATGACTAAATTTTCTCTTAGGCATAAAATGGCTCTTTTATGTTTGAGATAAACTTGTATTATATCTATGTGAATTCTAAGGAACTTAAACGTAATTATTAGGCTCAATTACTAACTTAAATTTTCCATCTTTTTCAATTTAAATTTATAATTCAGATTTTTTTTTCTTTTATTAGTTTGATGGAGTTCCTTCTAAACTTAAAAAAGGAGATTTTTCTAAATAAAAGGAACCCTTCTATTAATCAATTTAGCTTAAATCTTTACGACCAATAGAACTTCTAGCAGTCATAAAAGGAATTGATGTGAATTATTTCTAATTATTTTTTTAATGTGTTAGAGTAAAAATAAAGAAAAAAAATTTATGATAATTTGAATATTAATTATGGTAGAAGTAGAAATAAGTTTTATTACATTTTTTAAATTCAATTTAGTTGAAAAAGAGTTCAAAGTTTATAGCAATGTGGCTCTACTAATGTCAAATTTTGCAGATGTCAACTTATTCTGAAGTATTCTTTTTGAAATTTAAAAATCTAATATTTCTTGGCCTTTTTAAGTTTCAGACTTCATTTTCGTTTACAATTTTAAATTATAGTTAGAGAAAAAAAATAAGTAATAAGCGTTTATTTTTATTGTTATAAAATTTTTAATCTATTAATAATTCACTACATCAAAAGTATTAATATATATTTAATTTATTTACTAAATCTATATAAATATTAACCATAAATTTTCAATTTTATATTTATGATAAGAATAAAATTGATTAGAAAGGAAGAAGTAATTCTTTCTATAAACAATTTTCGATAAGAATAAGCACATTTCATATTCTAGTTCAACTAATTCCTATCTTAAAAATTTAAAATATCATTGTAAAATTATAAAAATTAAATATTGTTAAAAATCAAATTTATATTTTTTCTATCTGATGACAACATTAAGAGTTCATATATTGTGCAAATTAATATTTAGAATAAAAAGTTTAATGATTTTCTGAATATCTCTATTCATTCCTCATAATTAAATTCTTGATTTGATAGTTTGTATTTATAGATAATATGAGTTATAAATTAAATTAAATTTAATATTAATTATTTGATTAATAGAAAAAAAATAATCAAATAAAGTAAAGAAGTCAATATAACTAAACAATTATATAGAATTAATTATCTTTAATTTTATTTATTTTATAACTTAATATAATATTTTTACAAACAAATAAATAACATATTATAAGATAAAAACCTATTTACACTATATAAAATAAATAAATAAATAAATAAATAAATAAATAAAGGAAATCTTAATAATTCATGTTTTAAAATTTGAGATAATTTAAAATAATATAATTAAAATTTTTAATGTTAAGAAAAATGTTTTTTAATTAATTATTCATTAGCTAAAAAATTAAAGATATTTAATTTAGTTGAAAAAATATCAAAGAATGAATTCATTTTTTATAATAAAGTCAAAATAAAATTAGGTTTTATGAGTTGAGAATTTATTTTTTGTTTTGATTCAAATAATAAGTATTTTAGCTTAATTTTTCTTTGATTGAATATTTTACTTAAGAAAAATGACAGAAAAGGATTTTTAAACAAATTAAAAGAGCTAAATTTATTTATAATATTATTTTTGATCGAGTACACAATTATCTAAGTTAAGTATTTTACATTAACTTTTGAGGTATTTGTTGATAATTTTATATTACTATAATTTCATTGCAAATAAATCTAACCAAAAAAATTTAATTTGAGGTATAATTTTATTTTTTAGGTATTTATAAAGATAATTTTATTAAATACTTCATAAAAATCTTAGAATTAATTTGACTTTATTTCATGAAAATATTTTACTTAAGTTACAATCATTACAGATCTTTTATTATTACAAATTGCTTAAATTTTAATTTTAATTTAACTTTATTTCAGCTTTCAAAATGAAAAAGGAATTTCGATGTAATGTTTAAGTATGATTTTTATTATTAAAAATCTTAAAATGCATTTTTATTTGCTTTTATATGATTACAAAATATTTGTTTTAAATAAGCAAATAAGTAATTTGATTACCAATAAATTAATGTGTTAGATAAAATATAGCACTCTTAGTTTAAGTGCTTTAGAAATTATTTAAATTAGTAATTTAATAAGTAGATAGCTAAAATGATAGAATATTATGAATTGAAGTTAGTAAAATATTTAATTTGATAAGATATACTTACAATTATAATTGCTTTTCATTATCATAAGTTTTTTCTTTAAAAATAAAAAAATTTTGGTAATAAACTGATAGAAAGATAGTAATCATAAAAATGAATATCCTTTCACTATGCCACACTTATTAAATTAATTTTTTAATTTGTAATAATACTGCATAATATGACTTAATATTATATAGCGAGCCTTGAGGTGAGCAATAGCGCAATTAGAGTTATCTATATATTTTGAAATGAAAGAATAATAAACACAGCAATTTTAAGAATTAAGACTTAATTGTAGTTACTTATGTCTAAGACTATTGTTTGAAATATATTTAACAATAAAGTGCATGTATAGTACAAGCACAAACAATAATGAATATAAATTAATAAATCATTTAATTTTTTTTAATCATTTAATAATTATAAATATAAAAAGAAGGATATATCATTAGGAATTAGTGAATACAATATATTTTTATATTAAGCTTATTCATTATACACCAAAAATAAGAAATAAAGAAAAGGAGAAGAATAAGAAACAGATTAAGTTGAATCATACAGTAAAGACTCAGATTTTCAACTTCATAATCACAAAGAAAATACAAGCAAAAGCATTCATTACCCTTCTTTAGTATTTTTTTAGTTATAAAATCTATGAATGAAGAGCAGCTACAATAATGTTCAAATCTGAAAGAAGGAAATGAGTCGAGCGAATAGCAGTAAGAACCATAACCATAATAATAAATTGCAGCTAATGTCACTCCGAAAAACGAAAAAAAGGAAGAGAGCTCAAATAATGAATCGAATGGCGAGAAAACATTTTATTTACATAAGCTGAAGAAGAAAGTTAACTTAAACATAAAGATTCCAAACCAACAAAAAAATGAAGACTATGCGGACTTGTATGTTTTTTATGATTTTAATAAAAGATAGAGATTATTTTTTTCAAAGGTTTTACTTTCATTTAAAATCAAATAATTAATCTCTCTTTCTTAATAGAACTCTTCACTTTTTGATAATTATATCAAAAAGCTCTTTAAAATTAACAAGACTTAATATTATTTCATGTATTAAACTAGAACCAATGGAACACTCTTCAATGGAAATGTTATTATCGACAAAGAGGGCGTTAAAGGATTGGGTATAAATATTTTCCATTCATCTTATAAAATACTTTTACATACTACTATTTTTCTGTTTGGAGAATGCACTTTCAAAAAAATTAGCTTAATTTTCTTTTTTTACTTACTCTTACATTCTTCTAGCACTATACCTTTGAAAGATTAGCTTGAGGAACTAAGTAAACTAGATAAATTAGAAAAACAGATATTTAGATCAAAACATTTCTTCATTTTTACGAGCTATATTTTCATTTTTGACTATGCAAGCTAACAAACAATGAATTGATGCTACAAAAAAAGCATCTCATGCCCTGAACTAAGGATAAATGGATTTTTTGATCAGGAATTGTTTGATAACTTTCATTAGTCTATTTCATAATTCTCCACTTTTTTCAACAAATCAATCCTTTGGTCAATCATGATATTAAAATTTTTATATTTTAAACGATATATAGAGTAATAATAGCATTAGAATAAAGACAGCAATGATAAAAACAATCAAAAGTAGAATGTAGAGTAAAAGAACGCATAGGATTAAAAGCAATAAACGAATTAATCGTAAATTTAAACAGATCATAATAATAATAATTAAAATAGTTAAAATGGAAATTAGTAGCAAGGATCTAGATTAAATTCTGGAAATATAGCAATTATTAATAGTAAAACAAAATAAGTAATAACTAAAGCTAACATTACACAAAATAATTTAGCTAATTCGAATGTAACATATAAAACTCCGTAAGATTAGATGAAAGATAAGTAGGCGAGTTAAGATTCTGCTGAAAATCAATATATTGAAATTAATGGAAATCACTTACTTATTTCTGAGTTACGGAGAGTAAAAGTGCTAGGACATGGATCTTCTGGTTTAGTTGAATTAGCTGTTCATGATGCAACTGGGATTGTTATAGGAATAAAAGTAATTTTACTTGTTCATATTTTGAAAGTATAAATACATTACATATAAAAAGCTATTTATTATCAAATAAAGTATTTGGTAAAGTAAAAGCAAAAATAGTAAAAAGCATATAAAATTGAACCAAAAAAATGTATTTTAAATACTCATTCTAGAATATATTTCCCTTAAATAAACCATACTTTTTAAAATTTAGAAAAGTTCAATAAAAATATTTACAAATAAATCTTAAAGACTTATTTTATTTTCAAATTTTATTTAATTAAACTAGCAATACAAATAAATACTTCCTATTTTATCTTACTTTCAAGAAAATAATTTAGAAGAATAAAATCAAAAAAAGCATATTAAATATAATTTATTCTATAATAATAGAGTATACCCTTGCTTATGAATTCATCATTTAGAAAATAATTAGACTAAGAACTTAAAACTCTTATATAATGCGAATCAGATAGTATCGTAAAATGTTATGGTGCTTATATACAAAAATGCATGATAAATATTACCTTAGAATATATGGATTTAGGTACTGTACATGATTTAGTCAAAAAAGTAGGGCCTTTACCAGAAATTATAGTAGCTATAATGGCAATTTAGGTAATCTTAAATTTAAGTGCATTAAAAACTTTTCATTTATTAGGAATTTATGAATTTCTCATGCATTTTAAATAGAAGCATTAAAAATTTTTAAAATCATAATTTTGGCTTCTAAATATTAAAAATATTTTAGATTTTTAAATTAAAATACATATAATCATATATTATATTATAGGTGCTCAAAGGTTTAGATTATATTCATAACAAAGCTAAGGTAATACATAGAGATATTAAGCCGTCTAATTTATTGGTAAATAGCAAAGGTTAAGTTAAAATTGCAGATTTTGGAGTATCGGCAAACCTGGAGAGTGCTGTTGAAGTAAAAAATTGGGTAGGAACAGTTACATATATGTCTCCTGAAAGGTTTAGAGGATAAGCTTATACTGCAAATACAGATATTTGGTCTCTAGGTTTGACTATATGTGAATGTGCTCTAGGTACATATCCATATTTTGATTCAAATTAATATGAAAAAAAAGAAAATCTTTCCTTTTGGGAATTGCTGGAGTATTTCAACATGAAACCTGCACCTCGTTTACCTGAAAATTACTCTGAAGAAATGAAAGATTTTGTAGCAAAATGCTTTAAAAAATCTCCTTTAGATCGTCCTCATTCTCATGATTTACTAAATCATGAAATGGTTAAAAAATTCTCATAGTATGACTCTTCTTATTTTGAAGAATGGATTACTAAAAATAATTTGAAACCTGCTTAGGATAAGTATGAGCCTGCGCCTGTTGTTTCAACTGTTTAAAATACTCCGTATTTTTCTCATCAAAACCCACCTAACTAAACTTAGTAGACATCAAATTAATCTTACTAACAAATAAAAAATCATGATCAAATTAATCTCAATTAGTAACATAATCAATAAAATTAGAATGGAAGTATTCAAGTTTAGCAAGGACAAAACAATTTAAGCATTTAATAACTTAATTCAACTTTTCGGAAAAATAGCTAGGTGTAAAATTAATAAAATCCAGTCCAACAACAACAATAACAACAATAATAATAATAATTATAACAAAATATAAATCAATCTAATATCTAGCAATAAATAGTTTAATAATAAGTAAATTCTTAATCATAATAGCAAGTTTAAAACTTGATAGCTTTATAATAGAATTAATAATAATAATAATAATAATAGTAGATATAACAGCAACAGTAATAGATGAGCTCATAAGCATTAAATTCATAATAGTTGCATATTAATACTAACTTAGCAAATCAGAATAAAAGCAATAATAACAGTATTTATCAGATTTCCCCTACTATTCATACTTTTAGACCAAACTAAGAATAAGAAAGTGAGAATGCGCAGGAAGTTGACGAATTTATAAATGATCCTAATGAGTTTTATGGACCTAGTGATAATAAAACTAAAGGCATTGTACATCAGAGGATTTCTAGTCTTTCAGATAAGCTAGCTCCTGCTGCTCCAACAGCAGCCACCAATACTTCAAATAGCAGGAAATCAAGTTAAATACTAAACTGCAATTTTTAAGAGATGACAATAACATCGAATGAGATAGTGGATTCTATAAATTCTCCTTTACCTATAGAAACTAGCATATAAAATCCTTAGATTCCTAATCAATAGCAAAATTCAAATTCTAGAATCAAATAATTCTAAATTAAGAACCCAACAAATTTAAATATTCAACAAATAAATTAAGATAATTTATAAAGATCAAATTAATCTTAAATCATAACTCAGCAAGATTAAAATTAGTAAAATGCTTCTTAAAATTAACCTATTATACAAAAATAAAACATAGGTCATCATTATTCTGCATCTATTAGCATAGGACAGCAATAAAGGAATAGTAATACTCCGAGAACATCTCTTTAATATGTTAATAATGGTGTTCAGATGGTATAGGTAGGATATGATAGAATGAATAATTCAATAGGTGTAAGCTAAATTGTTTCACCATAATCATAGCTAAACTCACAAAAAGTATCTCCTAGCCAAGCAGCTGAACAATTTTAACAGACTGCTTCAAATTAAATGCATGGCAACTTGAACTCAAATTAAAGTTAAAGTGTCTATTTATAATAGTAGCACATTTTACAACAGCAACAGTTTTAGCTCAATTTGCAAAAAATAGAATAAGTAACTGGAGGCGCTTCATAAAATAACACCCCTAAATTAATTACCCCTCTAGCATCTTCTTCTATAAACAATAATATTTAACAAGCTTAAAACAACTACTAGATAAATAACTAGGCTTAAAACATAGATAATGTAGTACAAATAAATCCTAATTAATAATAAAAATTTTCTGTTCCAGACGCATAGTAAAATGTAAATTATTTATTAAATCAAAACTTAAATTATTAAAAAAATATTTTAATTTTTATTAAAGTAGTAGCTTTAAATTTAGTAACAGCAGCTGCAAATTTCTTAATAGCAAAATAAGTATTTTTCTTCTTAAAATGCTTAGATAAGGAAATAGTCTTCTCTATAGATTAATATGGCTCCTTAATCAAATTAACTTGCTCAAACTAAGGCAAATAATTTGAATTCTTAACCTGCATTAGAGTTGAATGAGGCCAATTTGTAGTAAATTTAGTCAGAATATTATGAAAGCATTAACAACTAATATGACATTGCATTGATATAAGGTGTTAATGGCAATTTAATCGCCAATTAAATTTAAGAAATTGGTTAGTTACAAAATTAGTAATATTAACAATAACCCTAATAAATTTAATATTAGCAAATTAACAACTATAGTTTACCACCAAAACCACTTTCAAATTAAAAAATTAATACTCCAAGCAATTAAGCACATTCTCTAAGCATTTAAAAATAGAATTCAGTAGGATCAGCTGTAAACCAACAGGTTTATCAAAATTAAATTAATCAAAAGATCATTTAAAATTAAAATGCAGCAAACTTGCATTAATAATAGTTAATAGTTTAATAAAATATTTAATAACAATAATAATTAATATCAAATTAGTTACAATAATAAAACTCACCTGATTACTCTAACCAATTCAACTAAATACAATATTAGCAACAAAATTAAGGGATGTAATAATTTTAAAATATGGTAAACAAAATAAATTAATAGCAAATTGTTGTCAGCTAACAATTAATTTAAAGCCAAAATATGGCGTTTTATTAATAGTCTTAGAATCTTACAAATTACAATCCTTCAGTAAGAAATATAATATAGTCAGAAGACTTATAAACTGAAGTTCATAAAAGAATAGAAGAAGACCACTTGAAATTAAAATAGCTGATAACTAATGATTTTTCATAAAAATTTGTTGATAATTTGCTAAATAGCCTTTAAATTAGAGTTAAACAAAAAATTTTTGAACAATTGTCAAGTTTAATTGAAAAAGAGTATTAAATAGAATTCTAAGTATTGATGAATAATATAACAAACCAATTATTTTAACCACCTTAAATCTAATAATAATAATAATAATAAATAATCTAACAAAATGCTTAAACACAGAGTAATTAGTCTTATCAATTTCCTCCTGCTTTCATTAACTAGCCAAGCAATGCTTTTCCTCAGCAATAATAAGTTGTAAAAAATAATTTTTATTTTTAATAATTCTGTTCTTAACTTTTATTATTGTAGCAATTATAATAGGTAACTCAAATGCAAGCTAACCCTTAACTTAATATAAATGGACCTCTTATAGTAAATGGTCCTGAATAGATACCTTAGTAGGTTTAGTAAATCCCAAATAATGCAGCAGCTACTGCAATTAGAATTAACACAAACTTGCCTTAGGATAAAAATTCTAATACTTAAAATTCAACACCCCTCTCATATAAATCAGGATCTCCAAAATAAAATAACAGTAGTCCAATCACCATAAACTAAAATAACAATCTTAGCAAGTAAATAGCAAGCTAGAAGCAAAATGAGATGCAAGCTCCTTAAAATTAATAGTTTTAGTAAATAAATTAAGCAAATTAATCTACTTAAGATCAAAAAGCTGTTAATAATAATTTAAGTATAAACTAAATTTAAAGTAATACTAATTAGATTACTTCTAATAACCATGACGAATTAAACGCATAATAAAAACTTGTGCCTCAAAGTTAAAATGCTCGCTAAGTTTAGTAACCTCTACCAATTGATATTGTGACAACACAAGAGCAATAATAAACTTAGCAATAATCAATTTAGTAATAGTAGTTGTTACTATAACAATAACAATAGTAATTTATGACTTAAAGCTAAGATGTTTTTGCTCGTGAAAGGACTAAGTAATTTTCTTAAACTCCATAAAACTAAGCTACTCAGAATGTTAATAAGAATGGAAGCTACACAACATCTCATCAACAATAGGTATAATAGTAAAAAGCTCCTAGTTAATTTAATAAAAATGCAACAATTTCAGATGACCCAAATAAAGCCACTGACTTTGAGCTTAGTAAAGCTATCCAAAAATAACTTGGTGAGTAGAAAAGTACCCTTAACTAACCCCATACACAGCAACAAAAGCAGTAAGCAAATTAAGTTAAAGAAAATGACTTACAATTTTAAGATTAAATAGACTTGTAAGATAATAGTTCAGGTGCTCATCCACATGCTGCCACCACATGCCCTCATTAAGCTACTATAAATTAATTGCAATAATCTTCAAATAATCCTCCTTAGATTGTGAACAACCCTAATTCCTCTAAATCTAAACTTGCACACTAAGGTAGTAATAATATAGAAAATACTAATAATTTTAACAACATTTAACATGGATAATAAATAAATATACTGAATGATGAAGTAAACGATACTGAAATATCAGTTTCAAATAACATATCGAATGATACTTCACCAATCAATGATGAGGAGTTATTACCAAACCCTGTGCTTAAACAGAATTACATTAGTACTTCTGCTTAAAATTCTTAAAACGATCATAATTTATAGTAAATAGTAGCTGGTAATGGAAATTAAAGTTAAAGCTAAAGTAATATAAACGTAAATATCGTAGGTTTACCAAAAAGACTTACGAGAGAAAGTATAATAATAAATAATCCCTAGTAATAGGCTGAATTAGCATAAAATATCAATCAACAACAGCCTGCAGCTGCAAGCTAAGGTTAGATTCCATAATAAACTGTTAATTAAAAAGTTATTCCAGTTTCACCAAATTTCAATAGCGAAGAAGCTGAAACATCAAAGAAAAAGCCTTAATTTGCAGATGGAACAAAAGTTGTAATAAATATTCAAGAGTAGAATTAGATTAAGAAAAAGTGAAAAATGTTATTTAAATAGATCTCTAATAATTAAAGTAGAGCAAGATTAAAATAATAGAATAAATTTGATGATAATTAATTAATAATTAATATATAATGTATAAATTAATAAATTGATTTATTTGATTCAAAAAATCAATCAATCGATCAATCAATTAATTAAATAAATAAATAAAATAAGTATTAATCAAAGTTTATAATTTCAAAAATTATATTTACTAAAATACATAAAAAAGAAAAGTCTTTTCGTTAAATTAAGTTATTGAATTTAAAATAATTTTATATTCTTTATTCACTATTTCTTAAATAAAATTCATTTTTCAATCAAATTTTATTGCTAGGCAATCTACCTATACTTTTGATTTAAAATTATTATTTCATTTTTAATAATGAAATAAAATTTTTGTTTCTCAAAATTCATATAATTTTATTTTTTATTTTAAGAAAAATATAATTTCATTAATAAACTGCTTATTATAAAATCAATTTAGATGGAATTTTATAAAATTAACATTTTTAACATTAACATATTTTGCATAAAATTACATAAATTATAGATATTATTTTTTAATGTAAGGTGACTTTTTTATGATGCATTAATCTTTTGCTTTTAATTTTTGCTTAAATAAATGAAATTAATAATTACTTAAGTAAAAAAAGCGATAGTATTATATTAAAATTTACAAACTAGATTTATCATTTTGTTTAAAAATCTAAATATTTTTTGTAAAAATATTAATAATTATTAATGAAATTTAAATTTTATTACTCAAAATGTATTAAATTAATATGAGATATATATTACAAGGGTTAGATAGATCTGTAATGTATATAAATTAGTAAGCATGAAAAAAATTATCAAAAAGCGAATTTATATTCATTAATTATTTATTTTATCATCCATTAAGGCTGCTCAATAAAAGTAATTTAATCAAAAATTATTGGTTTTAGTAAATAAGCAATAGCTAGAAAAGTGTAAAAAAAATTCTTTGATTCTTAGAAATATTGAAATAAAAGATTTAGTAAAAGTAGAAGATGCTCTAAAATCATAACTAAATGAGGTCTAAAAGTGTTGGAACAAGTGAAAATTTTGCAAAAATTTCATAAAATACAGATAAGCATTCAAATTCAAATTTTGCTACTTCCGTTTCAAAGAATACGCCTTATAGCTAAGGAAAAAGTACATTTTTCGGCAGTACTTAATCACAATATGATAATTAGAATTTAAGAAAGGATTAATTAAATATTTAAATCTCTGAATTTACTCCATTTGTTAAGCAAACGGAAAAAAGTAATGTTTAAACTGATTCTGAAGAATTAAAATATATTGTAAGTCCTTAGAAAATAGGTTTGGCTTAAGTCCATTAAGCTATTTAAATGAAAACAAAAAGGTAGTGTAATTTGAAAAGTCGTGTTAAGTCTAATGATTTAAGTAATTATACCAATAATTAATAAATTGTTATTTAAAATTAGTCAGAGCTATTTAATGCTAAGAAACATAGAGAAAATGAAAGCTTAAACTAAAAAAAACTCTCTCAAACTAAATTTAATTTTAACATAAAATATTTTTTTAAATAACCTTAAGAAATAAATGACTAGAAAAATGTTGATAAATGCTTAAAAGATGAGTAAACTCCTTAAAAAAACCATCTTTTTTCTACAACATCCGCTAACCTAAGATATCAAAAATATAATATACTTAGCTCTTAAAATCGCTCCTAGTTAAAAGATTTAGCTATCCCTTTTCAACAGCTAAATAAATAAAAAATAAGTATACCAAAATGCTTATTACCAATTTAGTAGCAAAATTCTCAAAATATTTTAAGTTAAGAACTTTAATTAAAATCTTCATTTGAAAAGAATTAAATAAAATAGTAAAAATAGAATTTAATTAGTTAAGAACTGCTTAATCCTACCTAGAAAGAAGAAAAAATAAATGAAAATAAAAATGTTAAACATTATTTTTTCAATAGCTTTTTACTCAAGCGGCCTAAGAATAATACAAATTCTAAATAAGAATATAATAACTTATCTCTAAAAGCAGAAAAGAGTTCTATAGTAAAGAATACCTTTGATGAAGATGAAATAAAGTAGCAAACTTAAAATGTTGACATTTCAAGTGATTTGTTTTCAAAATTTAAAGCTAAAGGATCTCTTTTTGATATTGGATAACTTGATGGATAAATGTCTTGTTTGAGCAAAAAATCATCTAATTTTAGCTAAACTTAAGAAAATACTGAGCTTAAAACACTCAATTAGGTTTCTTTCAGCTAAAATAACTTGCAATCTGATGGAAGTGATATTAGAAGCTTAAGTAGATTGAATCTTCGAAAAGGCCAAGTTTCTCAAGAAAGTAATATCTCATAAAATGCTTCTCAAACTGCTGCTAATACTACAAAACTAAGATAACTTTCTTTGAAAGATAGGTTAGTAACCATAGCGGAATAAGATACAAAGCAAATAGAATAAATTTCGCCTAACAAATACTAAATCGTTGTTTCGCCTCACACCCCTGTATCTACTTGGTAAGAAAAAAATTTAATACCTCTCGAAAGCCCTTCGAAGCGATAAAATATGCCCCCTTCCCCATTAAGTCAAAGCCCGGTATCGGTAAGAAGGAGAATGTACGATTTGTAAGCAATAGATAGTGTAAGTTTTTAAGTAAAGGATTAACAGATTGGTTTAGGTATGTAAGGTATTCAAAATAATCAAGAACAAATTATAAATAACTCTAAAGATTAGTAAAAATAAAAAACTAGTTATAAATTAACTAAATTAAAATCACAAATAGAAACACTTATCCCTCTTACACTTAAAAGGATAGTTGAAAAGCCATTTAAATAAAATATAGAAGTAATTAAGTATGGATTATCTAGAAGTGATCCCTAAGGACCTAAAATATGTATAAATGAATTTGAAATATTTTAAATATTTATCCGTATAATTGATCACTATGATACTGCTATGAAAAATGAAAATGACACATTTAGGAAAATGCATTCAGCTCAGAATTAGCTTTTGGAAAGGTTAATAAATAAAATAACAAGTGTACAAGATGCTATCAAAACTATATTTAACATAAAACAGGGATGCTCTAAAATATCTAAAATCATCTATAAACTCTTCGAAGGAATATCTCATTTGAGATTCATTTTTTTCGAAGCTGAGGTGCTATCTCCTGAAAAGATTGCTTTACTGGAAATGCAAACAAAAGAAGATAGTGTACCTCCTCTAATTAATGATACTTCTAGCAAAATTTTAGCAGATAGATTGTTTCATAATAATTTCAGGTAATTTTTTACTCCAAGTGATTTCGATATTTTGATCTAATATATAATTCTGCCTGATCTCGATATTATAGTTTCAAGGATAGAGAGTTATGTGAACAACTTTTATGAAAAAAGAATGAATGAAATATCTAGTTCAGTTGAATAAACTATGGAATAGATGTTTAAAAAGTAAACTGAATATGTATACACAAAAAAGAATCCTCATAAAATCAGAGAAGTACTTGAAAATTAAATGCCTTCATTTCAAAGCAGTCGCTTTAACTTTGCCAACACATTTTATAAAAAAATGAATTAATATGAAAGCAAAACAAACTAAAAAGTAAAAAAATCTGAGTCTCAATTTTAATTAAATGGTTAAATGGATAATTTAGTTTAAGGGTTAACAAAAACACTAAAAAAATACTAAATATCCTCTCCATTTTCATAAGAAATTTATCCAGAACTTAAACAGTAGCTTGTTAAGATGTACAATACTACATCAAAAGAAATATGAAAAATGAACTAATTTTAGTTAACAATTAATTTTATTAATATATTCTAGTATTTATTTAGGTATTATTCCTTCTTCTATCTATAATTGTATCTTCTTAAATCTCTTTAATTAATTATTTTTTAAGAAGTAAAATGTATCAAGTTATATTTTTCTTATGATATAATTTTATTTATTTAGGTAAAATTCCTTCTTCTATATTCATTTTAAACCTCTTTTATTTTAAAATTAATTATGTATGTATATAGAATGTCTCAGACAATTTATGTTTTTCTTTGAATATAACATTTTTTATTATCAATTACCTTTACTCAATAATCAATTGAAAAATGCATTAAATTTACTTTAATTAATCAATTTTTTTACTTAAATTATGGTTTAGATGTTTGATTTTCCTCAATTAATAAATAAATAAATAGATTAGTGATAAAATACCTACTTCATTGCAAAAATTGATTCATTATTGGATTCGATTTCATAAAAATAAATAACTAAAATATATTGAAAGTTTTTAAAATAAATAAATAAATAAAACTACTTAAATTAATTAAGATATTATCTAAGTAGAGATAATATTTCAAGTCTAAAATCCTCAATAAAAACAAATATAAAACATATTTTCACTGAATATCATTAAGGAAGAAGATTTAAAAGTATTAACCATAAGCATATGAGCTAATAAGATTCGCTTGAAAAATATAAAAAAGCTACTTGCTTCAAAGATAAGAATTAAAAAGATATTTAAAATCTTTATTTTACAAAAGATCAATAGGTATCTATCATTAAAAGCGATAGAACTGTCTACAAACCATCTCTTATTTATACTAAAACTTCTTCAAAAAGTAATTCATTGAGATCAATATTTTTAAATAGAGAAAGATTTCAAAATAAAGCTGATGTGAGAGAGAATAGATTATCCCACACCAATAATTTTGATACTTTTCTAACTTCTTCTAATGCCTATTAAAATGAATCTTCTTCAGATATTGAAAAATTTATTAAAAATAATAAGCTACTTTTTTTTACCAGCCGCAAGTAAAAGACAAATAATTCCTTCCACGATCCAAGAGTTGTTAGCTTCTGCTTAAATAACAGTAGCAATAAAAATTTATCAGAAAAATAAAAGTATAATCAATAGAATACAAATTAATCATTATCACCTCAAATTAAGTAGAATTTGGATCAGTCTTTAATAAGCAAAAAGAATAGAATATCTTTAAACTTAGAATAAGCTGATGGTAAAAATATGATGGAAAATAAACTTAAAAGAAAGAGTACTCCTATTACAAGTTTATAAGATAAAAGTAGATTCATTTAAAGTACCTCCTTCCATAAAAAAATGTCTTAATAAAAAATTTGTGACTTTAATCAAATCAACCAAACTAAAAATGAGTTAGATTAAATAAATAACATAAATAAAGTTAACTAAGATGATAATAAATAATAATTTTAAGATACAATAATAGGAGACATATATTAGCCAACTTTGTAAAAATAAACAACACTTCAAATGATGATAAACAGAATTCATACAAAACAATCAAATTTACAACAAATCGAAAATAGTGAATAGGAAAACTATCTTTAAGAATAGTAATAATCATATCTATCATCTCCATTGTCTGCTTCTAAGAGCCCCTTATCAAAAAAATTAGATATTATAAATATGAGATTTGCTTAAATTGAAAATGATAAAACTAAAAAGAGTAACTAAAATTCAAAATAAAATAGTTATTTTATAAAAATGAATTAAAATTTTCAAACTGATACTCCACAGACTCACCAGGAAAAATTAAATAGAACTTTAAGATCAGAAAAAAGGTTAAACGCTCAAAAGAGTTTTAGCTCTTTTCATAAAACTTCTTTTCACAATTAATCAGTGGAACAAAACTAATTTTTAGAAAATAGCAGTCCTACAAAAAAAATACCTTTAATTAAAAATTTAAATTTTATAGGCGATAAAAATAAAAATCCTTTAGATTTAGAAACTCCACAAGGCAACTCTTCTTAATTAAATTAGTAAGTTAAAAAAACGTTTCAATAAAAAGGATATCTTACTCACAGTCATCAATAATTACAAAGTATTCAAAGATCACCAATTAAAAATGTTAACAATTTATATTCTCAAACACCTGCAGCAATACTAGAAAATGATAAGAAAGATATTAATAATAAGATTGATCTTATTTAACCAATTAATAATGCAAAAAAAAGTTTAGAAAACATTAGATCTTCTAATATTTTTTCGAATTATGTTGCCCTAACTTTTAGAAATAACTTATTGGAATTAAGAAGGAGAGCATAAACTTAAATTATACAAAAGCTAAGTTTTGAAAGTAGGTAAGCTCTAAAAAGGCTAGTCATATATATAAATGATATGAATTAAGAATATGATAATATTAAAAAAGTAAGTTAAACCATTTATTAGCTTGTATATCATATCCCTTATTTGGTGAAAATGCTTTTTAAAAGTAAAAAAATTGTCTTGAGGGATAAAATTGATTTACCATTTGTTACTAAATTTTTGACAAATAGAACAAATATGGGTTATATTGAAAGTAAATCAGAATCATTCGATCAAATGCTTGATAATAGAATAAAAGTTGATATTGCTTTTCTTAATGAAAGGCTTATGGAGTTTATATAAAAAAAGTTCTAAGACAGATTCTCTCTAATTACTAAAAATATTATAGAAGAGCATGAAAAAGTTTAAAACCTTGAAGAAAAAATTGAAGAGAAGATAGCTAAAACTCGTGGATTGATTCCAAATACTGAAAAGTAACTTCTAAGAAGCAAGCATAACTATTAATGTGTAGAGAACTATATGTTTCACTAAAAACTAAAAAATCAAAATACATTTTCTTAAACTTTCTTGAGCTAATAAAACAGGCTAGGTTCTTTTCATATAATAGATAGATAGAATGTAATTATAAACAATGAGCTAGATAACATTTATACACAAGTTCAAAATCAAACAACACATAAAAGTTAGATAAATCCCTTCTAATATTATGATGACCAGCAATCAAATTAACCAGAAATTTAAAATATTTGAATATTTATTTATATGTAATATAAAAATAAATTTTTTTCTATTTATTCTTCAAATTTAAAAAAATCTAATTTCCAAATTTATTTAACAAAAAAAAAAATAATTAGTTTAGATATGTTTTATCAAATCATAAGATGTATGGTATCTATAATTTATTAATATAGTATTTGAAATATATTTTATACTTAATTATAAAATTTATTTGCTTAAAATAATTTAAAAAGTCAAATGAAACATAATTTAAATATTATAAAAGTAAAAATAAAATTTTAAATTGAGATTTATTTTTTAGAATCTTAAAAAATTGCTTTATGATAATAAACAAATTATTTATTTATTAATCTAATTTCTAGATAATTTAGAAATTGAATTCTTATGATATAGAATCCACAAGAATTTAATTCTAGCAAGTGCTATCTATATATTTTAAATACTCTATGGTTAGTCACTATTCATCTTGAAATGTTTTAAAGAGTTTTATCATGAAAGTTGACATAATTTTAAACCAGTAATTTTAATTTATGTTAAATAAAGAAATTGATAAACAAAAAAGTACTTGAATAAGTGACTGAATTATTTAAAAGTATAGTAAAATAAAAAGTAAATAATAATTAATAGCTGACATTATAATAAAAAAGAATAATAATATTATGTAGAAGTAGAATAAATAGTTTAAGAACAGTGGATTTTCTCCTATAGAATAAACAATCAGTAACACATAGCAAGATGTTCTATTATCACCTACTGGCTAAGTTAATAGTAGATAAATATTTCAGTAAATAAATGAAAATAATCTAATTTTGCAGTTGAATTAAAATTTTAAAAAATAAGAGTTTGATATCTCTAAAAAAAATTCAATAAATTCAAACTTATCAGCATGCTTTAGAGCAACATAAACCACATATTTCACTGAAAAAAATGAATAGAATGATGTTTCTGTAAAGTCTGCATTTCAAAAATTCACTTCTAAAGCTAAAAAGTTAGATTTTTCAAAATAATTGTCATAAAGAAATAAAAAGGATGTCAAATTCTTCTAAATGATAGATTAAGGGTTTATAAAATTGAAAGAAAGTTAATCAGTAAACCCATAAGAGTCTCCTTTATTATCTCCATAATAAAATAGTGGCTTTTTTACTTCTAGAAGATCTAATTCAAGAAATAAAATACCTCAATAAAAGCACAATTATGCTTTAATAAGCCCTTGCTAATCCAATTGTGAAATGAATAACTAATCAATCAAATATTAGACCACAAACAACCCATCATAAGTAATCCAATAAAGCCAAGTTAGTATACAATCTCCTCGCTCTAAAAACTTAAAACAGACTAGTTAATAATCTAGAGTTTTGAATAAGCAGGCATCTGCTACATCTATTGTAAGCTAAACGAACTAAGTTTCTTCAGTAAACAGTGATTAAGTACTTAAAAAAACTCCATTTACAAATATTTGCAAATAAATTTAAATAAGTATGCAATAAATGCAGAAGAAACTGAGGAGTAAAGTTTAATTTTTTAATCACTTTAGTAAGCTCCTTGAATCTAAGTCCTAATACTTATAAAATATATTTTTAGTTCATGAAAACAAGGAAGTAATATAAGATCCTATTGCTTTGGATAAAGCTCTAGTTTCAGTAATAAATGGATCTGAATACCGCTCATCTACTTTTTTATAGAGAGGTTTGATAAAGAGTTTATTACTAGAGCTTAATATCTTAAATAAAGAAGTCTTTGATGCTTATCTAAACTAGTCTAAATAAGAAATTAATAACTTATAAGAAAGGATAAAGTATGAAAGAGGAGAAGTGGAATATTTAACTTCTCGAATGGTTGCTAAGCACTATCCTAATTTTGAAAAAAAGGCTACTCTATTCAATATATTATCTCATCACAGTATGCCTGTAACATACAACAAAGAAAAATATGATTTTATGGAAGGAAAACTTGGTAAGTTTAACTTAATATCTTAAGAAAATAGATATGTTTGCTCTGAGATAGAGAAGATCATATGTAACTTAAATGAAATTAACTACTCAAACAACAATCCCTTTAGAAATGTGATTTGGTGAAATTTAATTTATTTTTATTTAAAAATTTTAGATTTCACCCCATATATATATTATTACTAAATAACTTACTTACTTATTAACCAACTAACTTTACTGCCAAAAATATTTTGTAATCCAGCTTATTGATTTAACATTTTTCCCACAAAAAGAATTCAATTAATACAAATAGAATTCAATTTTTGTGTTAAATAGCAATTAAGACACGCACAACTTTATATAAATTTTTTTTGTTACTTTCTATGGAATAAAACATTTAGAAAAAGAAAAACTAAGCTTTTGAAAATTATATAAGATAGATATTAATAGTGCTTTAATTATAATATATAAAATATAAACATATTTATTCATAATTTAGATTAAATCTTTTAGATTTTTGTACGTTTTCATCAATCAAGTTATTTTTTTGAAATTTCTTTAAAATTATTATTTTATTTGATGATGCTTTTTAGAATTTGATTTAAAAAATAAAATATATTATGATTTTAATTATTTAATTGATTATTTATTCTAGATCTTAAATTCTATATTGAAATTATTTTAAATTAATATATTATGTTATTTTTAAAATTTTAACCTCAAATTTATTAAATTATTTTAAATTTTTATAATAATAAAATATTCTTTAAGCAAAAGTGTCTTAGTAAAGAGCTAATATTTTTGACATAAAATAAATAGAATAAAAATATAAAAAAATTTATAATAAATAAATACATGTTTTTAATATAGCTTTTAAATATGAATGAAACAAAAAATATATGTAATCTATTTTTATTTATTTTATAAATATTTGGTAAAGAGTTTTTATGGATTTTAAGAACATAAATAAATGAATACACTTATAAATATATTTGAATTCAAATAGGAAAGGCTTAAATATATTAAATGTTATAAATAAGTAATTAAGTCTGTTGAACAAATAAAAATTTATGATTAAAAAAGATATCCGCTGAAGAAAAAGTAGAGAATAAATGAAAAGGAAAAAAACTTTGAATTAGGTAGTGATAGATAGATAGTATAACTTTGAGTTATATATTTGAAATTTTGCAAAGAATATTTTATGATTCAAGTAAATAATAATTTATGGAAACCTTCAAAGCCAAAAACATAAAATTTGGTGATAGATATATGGAATTTTGTTTAGTTTGTTAAAAAAGTAGATATAGAACAAAAAGAATTTATGATTATATGTATTTATATTCGTATGTATGTATCAAGATAATTAAATATTAATATGAATAATAATTGAACAAAGGGTTATAAAGGCTTCATTCAAGCGAATTAATAAATTAAGAGAAGATAAGTGAATTAAAAATTTGAAAGAACAAACTATAATAATTTTATAATTAAAAATTAAACAGACAAAAACTAATTAAATACTTTAGAGCTTATAATTCATACAAATAGTTCTTTAACATTAATTAAATCAACAAACAAGTAAGTATCGCTAAATAGACAAGAGCAAAAACGAAAGGAAGGAGTAGAGAATCAGTCTTTAATAATACGAAGAATAAATGTTTGGAAGCTATTTTACAAATCACAAAGTAATAAGCTCCAACAGTAATGGAAGTCTGTTTGTTTCTAGAAGATAGAGCAATACAAAAAATGAAATTCCTAATACTAAAGAGGATACATCACGCTACTATAATGATTCAAAACAAAGAAATACTTCAAGAAAGAATTCTTAAGAAGTTCGCTCCTCTTACAACAGCTTAACAATCAGCTAATAATAAATAAATTAGTAGTAGTAACCAACTTAGGGCATGCAAACAGCTATTATGAATATCTAATAAAATGATGATAAGCATGAACTTTTGCGCAATTCTTTTAGCAATCAAAAATCTCTATCAAACAGCTCTAAATAACTAAACAATGAAAATGGGTTCAACTGTAAATTATATTTTTTTGCCAAATTTATTTTTTTTAAATTACTCAATAAACTTTTTTTTTTAACTTGCTACAGTCATTTATTTATTTTAAGACTGATTGAATCATATTGTAATGGGTATTTTAAAATTTTTTAAATTAATTAAAATAGCACCTGCCACTAACGGCGGAAGCTCAAGTTTGTTCTTTTAAAAAACAAATTTCGAATCAAAGATTCTTTAGAAAAAGATGAATGAAGGTAATTTATTATATTTGGTTTATAAATCCTAAAAGAATAGTCAAGAGTTAATACAAAACAAATCGATTTTATTTAATGATTTTCATTTGATAAATATTCATTTTGATTTTTTAATTTAAATTAGGATAGCTATTAAGCATGTAGAATTAGAAAACATTCACTGTTGGAAATTATAATGCAGGCACAGCTAGCTAACTAAATATAAACAAATTTAAGATTATGTTAGAATAAAATAACTCTATAAGAACAATTCCAAGTCACTAAAATCTTTTCAGAAATGACACTGATAGATATGTTACGGAAAACAGAGAAACTTTAGATTCGTTTTAAGGTAATGGAGGAGATTAATAAATTGGAGAAAAAGAAAATAACAAATATTTCTTTTCTTAATTCACCAAAAAAAATAAGTAAATCTCAGAAGGAATTTAGCAAAATTTTACTTAAAACAATAATTACCAACCAAATGATGTAGAAGATTTTACTATCTAAATCAATTAAAAAAATTCTGCAAAAAAATTTACAAATTAAATAACTACAACTGCATCTCAGCAAACTTTAGACTCTGCTAACAATCTAGATCACTTAGTTTCACTGCATTAGTAACATAATTAATCAAAGCCTAAAAATTTATAGGAATTACTGAAAAGTGAAACAGGTAAAACTAGGCTATTATTTCATTTTTTCTCTTTCTTCTTTGATATTTAGTTTAAAATTTTTGTTACATCCACTATTAATTTATTAGCTCTTTTTCTATAATATGATAATGAGAGTTGTTTTTAAAAATATATACTTTTAATGATTTTGAAACGAGAAAATTAATCCAATATTAAATTTTTTTATATAATTAAAAGAGAAAGATAATAATCTTAACAATAAATCTATTGGATCTAGCGATTTAAACTAGAAGCATATGAGTTCTTAGTAGTTAAATGATTTTTTTAACTAAAAAAAATCTCTATCACCTCGTAAAGTTATTAAAGAAACAGGAACTATATAATCTCCTATCTATAGATAATAAAACAGTGAAAGGAAAGCAGTTTTAAATTCTCCTGATATACAGAATAGTAAATCACTTGAGAATGTTTTTAGCTAAAATTAATCCATGCAAAAGATTAAAAGTTTCCATTAAAATTTATAGCAATTTACTGCTTAATAAAATAAATCAAAATAAAACTGTAACGGCAATGGAAGTTTACAGAGTTCATTTTAAGTAAAAAATGAACTTGCTTAAAGCACAAATATGGATGAGAAGCAAGTTTCACATTACTTTACTAAGGATTAAGAAACTGTTTTAAATTCTGGTAAGAAACAACATTCATAACACAATTCTAATAACTTAGCAGGTTCTATAGTTAACTTAAAGAAATCTAAAAAGAAAACAGAAGGTTAGCAAATGATTAACAACCTCCACTCGTCTTAAGAAGTAATTTTATATACTAAATAACACATATATATTATTAATTCTATTAAATATGAAATTCTTTTATTAATTAAAATTTTATAATAGCCAGAAATATCTCTTTTAAAGATGGAAAATATCAACTTAAAAAATTAAAATCAAGTTCTTACTATGAAAAACGAGACATTAGAAAAAGAAAAGAAACACTATAAGAATATTTGTAATAAGAAATAATTAGAGATAGAATAGCTAAATGAATAAATCACTTCCCTAAGAAGTTAAGTCGATTAAATGAAAATATAAATCAAATTATCCACTCATTCATAAGAAAGTACATTATCATAAAAGCATCAAACTCAAGTATTATAATCAGCTCACAATATGTCGTCACAAGATACTCCTAGATAGATGAATCAAAATTCAAATAATAATAATGTAAACTATTCTTCCTCCCCTCATTTCTAATAAGCCATGTAAAATTTTACTCAACAACAATAAAACTATGCACTAGCAAATGGATAGTAATACAATAATAATATCAACTGCTAATATAAATTGAATCATCTATCAAATTAAATCCAATAAAACTGTGTCCAAAATTAACAGTAATAAGTTTAATAGCAAATAGATGTTCAATCGCAACAATAAATTTTCTCTTAGCTTTAGCTCTAGCATTAAGCAAAATAATTATAGTAACAAAATGTTCAAAATACTATATAAACTTTGAACTAACTACAGTTTAGTTAAACAAATAATTACTCTCCTCAAAAGAGTAGCAGCTGTCTGTAGACTAATAAAAATAATGGATTATCTCCTATAGTAAATTCAGAAGAAAGAAGTGATTTCGTTTCAAATTCTATTTTAGAAGATATTCCTACTGCTTAATCGCACATTAGAACAATAAACAGCAGTTTGGTGATATAAAATCTGAATTTAAATGATGATTTTGAAGTTATTTAAAATGAATATCTAGCAAATAATAATTTCTAAATGAGTAACTTGTACAGTAATACACTTCCTCTCCCAAGTTAAACTAATTCTAAATTTTGAAAAAGCTAATGCTTGAAATTTTTCTAATTTGTGTAAATAAAAAGCCTTATAAAACATAACTTACAGAAGTATCTTCTACAAGAAACATATAATCAGTAATATAACTATATAAACAATCAAACAAATCAACATATTATTACCTCATTAATATCGATTTTTATTTCTCAAATTTTCCAACTATTTTCCATACAACAACAAGTGCCTTTATCGTGCTATAAAATAAAGATTTTATTACTTTTTTTCCTAACTGATTTAAAGATAAAAAATCATATCATAATTCTAATAATGATCTATCATTTATTTATTAATAGTGGTTAATAGATTTAAAAGGCAAAATAAATAAATAAATAAATACTTTTTTTTCCAAATTCTTATATTAAAATAACAGTAATAATTGAATAAATTTTAATTGTATAAAAATTTATTTATCATTATATTTATATCATTTTTGTATTCATTTTCATAACATATAATTCAATCTAATTTTTATTTTTCAAATTAAAATTGTTTTAATTTAAATAAAATGAAAATTTTATTATTTATTTTTTCCTAAAATTTCATCATAAAATTATATTTTTTTATTTTTGCATACATTTTCATGTTATTTAAATTCATTATAATTTTTATTATTCCAATTTAAATTGTTTAAATGTAAAATCAAATTTTAAAATAATTTTATTTCACAAATAAAATACAATTAAAAAATTCATTTAAGCAAAATAAATAGATTTTTTTACACAATTTTAACAATAAAATACTAACAATGTATTTTAATTCTATAAAAATTTATCAATAATTGTATTTATATCATTTTTGAAGGAATATTCATAAAATTGAAGTACAAAGTAATTTTTATTATTCCAACAAATTGTTTTAATTTAAAAATAATTTTATTTCATAAATATAAAGAAATTAAAAAGTGAAGATTGTTTTCATTAAATAATTTAAATATATTTTTATATTATTTATACTATAATTTTTATTAAAACCTAAGATTTGTTTTTTCTAGAAATATTTTTGTTTGCTATTTTAAAACACAACTCAAAGACAAATAATATCTATTAGAATTACAATATTTAACTTAATATAAGATCACAATTATTAACACATTTATTTTCAGTTTTTTTTGAGTGTATTCAATCTTGGAAGTTATAAACCAACTTTATGGGCAATACTTTCAATTTGCTCCTTTTCATCTCTTTTTATTCCAATGCGATAGATGTGCAAAAATTCATCTTATTTCTTCAAAGTTTTCAAGTATAATTCATAGTCATGTAAAAATTTATCATTTATTTTTTCAAAATTATAAGGTTTAACAGTTTCAAAATCTTCTACATATAAATTATTTATTGATTTAGGGAGAGAGGCTGATAGTATTTGGTAAAACTTTTAAACTACTTAGACCTATTTACTCATAAATGTTGAATTAATTTAATTTTTGTTTGATTCTTTAGCTATTAGTGTTAATATATATATATTTAGTTATTTACTTCTTTTATTAAAATATTATGATCTTAATTAGATATTTTATATTCAGATGAATGAAATATTCTTTCATTCAGCTTTTATCAATGGATTAAAATCAAATTTATTTTATCTTGATAAATTATTAAATTTCTAAAAAAATTCTTAAATTATATCAAATTTGATATTAAAAAATACTCTTCTAAAAAGCTTAATAACATAAACAGCAATTCATCGAAAGCTATTGAAAATGCAAAACCTTAAGCCAATAGAAACTGAAATTATTTTAGATGAAAAAAACAAATAATAGTTAAAATTGAATGAGTTATTGATTTTCCCTCATGGTTTAGATGGCTTGCACATTTGGGAAGCTGGAATAATTCTGGCTAGATATATAGTTTTTAATTCTTAGCTATTTAGCAATAAAGATATCCTAGAGGTAGGAACAGGAGTAGGTATTGGAGGATTAGCTGCACTAAAATACACTGAATGCAAAAGAGTTGATATGACTGATTATAATTAAGATGTACTTGCAAATATAAAGAAAAATTCAGAGAAAAATAGCATAAGCAAACAGAGATACGATGTGTTCTACCTAAACTGGTTTGAATATGATAAATTCAACAAAAAGTACGATGTTATTATTGGCTCAGATATAATTTATTCTGGTGCTCCATTAAAAGAGCTCTATCTTTTAATAAGCAAATCACTTAACAAAGGAGGTAAAGCTTATATTATCATACCTTCTTAAAGATTTAAAGGAGAGGTATTTCTCTAGTTGGTTGAGGATTACAAAGAGTTTTCAGTCGAAAAAATAGCCTTAGATCAAACTGAGTACTCACTATCTCCACTTAAAGATTAAACATAAGGATTCAAAACTTATCCAGGATTAAAAGAATTACAATTTTGGGTTTACATTTTTACTAAAATATGAACTACTTATTTTGTATTAAGGATTATAATTATTTTAAATTATCTAAATTTTTAATAAATTTTACTATTTAGTCCTTGTAGGATTTTCTATTTAAATTTTCTGATTAATTCTATTTATTTGGTTTTTACTTATATAATTACAAATATTTAGTTTATAGGGGTTGGGGTTGGGGTTGGGGTTGGGGTTGGGGTTGGGGTTGGGGTTGGGGTTGGGGTTGGGGTTGGGGGTTGGGGTTGGGGTTGGGGTTGGGGTTGGGGTTGGGGTTGGGGTTGGGGTTGGGGTTGGGGTTGGGGGTTGGGGTTGGGGTTGGGGTTGGGGGTTGGGGTTGGGGTTGGGGTTGGGGTTGGGGTTGGGGTTGGGGTTGGGGTTGGGGTTGGGGTTGGGGTTGGGGTTGGGGTTGGGGTTGGGGTTGGGGTTGGGGTTGGGGTTGGGGTTGGGGTTGGGGTTGGGGTTGGGGTTGGGGTTGGGGTTGGGGTTGGGGTTGGGGTTGGGGTTGGGGTTGGGGTTGGGGTTGGGGTTGGGGTTGGGGTTGGGGTTGGGGTTGGGGTTGGGGTTGGGGTTGGGGTTGGGGTTGGGGTTGGGGTTGGGGTTGGGGTTGGGGGTTGGGGTTGGGGTTGGGGT